ATATATATATATATATTATAAATAAATATGAAATTCAATACAAAAAGGGATTTTAAGGATTAAGTAGATTTAGTCTTAATAAAATGGGGTTTGATTTTCCAACATAAGTTTAAAATATAATCTTATATACATATAAGGCAATAATGAAATTGTTTGTAAATCTAAACTAGTATGCAAAAATTATTAATAATTAGCAATAGTTAAGTCAATACATCCTATATGACCTAGTTTTAAATAATTTCTTGAGCTTTGAAATATAAAAGCTAATTACAATAGAATCTGATAGAAAATTATTCAAAAAATTAATAACAATTAAAAAGATAATAATTTAACCTAGAAAATTGAACAGTTGTTATACTTTTTTTACTAAAAAATACCAAGGTCTTCTACAAATATAAACAATTTTTTTTACTAATGTACATTAATAAAAATATTTATTGAAAAAGAAAAAATAATCAATTAAGCTTAATCTTCACCTATATATTATGTTATTATGATTCATCTCATACTTGAGATAATTACTATGACTTTTATGCATATCACCAATCAATAAAACTTATCACTCTATAAATAATATTAAGATGAAAAATAATTATATTAATTATAATTTAAAATATATAATTTGTAGTAGGAATAAAATACTATAAAATATTAATAATTCTTTTTATTTTTATTTTTGAGGATTTTGAATAAAATATTAAACATGGATTGATTCATAAAAAATTGTTCCAAAGTTTTCAATTTTAGTACAAAAGAAAGACAATGATAGTAGATGTTTGCACTTTTATGTTGTTGTGTTGTAACACAACTAATAGATAAAAGATAGAAGAAAAAGTTTATATTATAAAATATATTATTTAAAAATAGAATAGAAAATTAACTTATAAATATAAATAATAGCCAAGGAGGTAGTAAAACTAATAAGTGTTAATGCTACCTTTTTGCAAAATAGACTTCTATTTACTTTGTAAGGCCATAAATAAGATAAAATAAGGTAGAATAGAAAAATTAGAATCATAGATATTTTAAGGTAGAAATAAATAATAAATTCTAAAAGTTTTACTTTAAAAAATTAGATATTGATATCCAAATAGGACCAGTTATGAAATTGAATTGAAATCAAATTCCAAGGTACAAAACTATGCCCTTACAAAAAATCCAAAAATATTTTGTTGATTTGAGAAAATGATTCAAGCATAGATAAGAAACAAGATTTTTGAACATTGATTTTGAATAATTTGAGTTTTTAATGACTTTATAAGAGCTTTAAAAAATTAGAATTATTTTGAGGTGACTTTAGTATTTATGAAATAAAAACAATTTATACTTCAAATAATTTTTAAATATTTGTAGTAGATTTATAAGTGAAATTTTCTAAATTTATAACTATAGTTGTACTAAATATATATTATAATTTTGAACTTGATCAAATGGTCAAACTAAAGATTATTGAAATTCAAGTGGATTGAAGTCTTAGAAAATTGAGTTGGGAGGGTTAGAGGGTTTGAAGGATTTGCAATAATTTTTTAGTTGGATTGAGATAAAATTTTGCATACTAGTAGCAAATTTGATTTCCAACAAAAATTAAAATTTTGAGAGCAATTAAATGGTAAAAATAAAAATATATTGGTACTACAAGATCAACATTAAGATTGGAGAATTAGGCCTATTGACATCCAAGTAAATTATGAGGTTTTTCTTCCATTTAGTAATTTGAGTTTTCTTTAAATTTATTGCACTTTCTAACAACTAAAAAATTGAAAGGTATACAAATTTTGAGTTAAGATGAAAGATAGATTTATTAATTATCAAAATTTTGAATCTACCATAGGATTGGAATTTGATAAGGTTATTTTTATGATTTCATTAGAATTTGGTTAGGATTTGATTAGAATTCTTTTAGAATTTTATTAAGATTTAATTAAAATTAGATTAAATTATATTAAAGATTATTTTGGAGTTATTTAGAATCAATTAGAATATAATACGATATATCTAGGATTCTTTTCAGGTTGATAGAATGTACTTAGGATAAATAGAATCATGCTTAGATTATTATAAAATTAAATTTATATATTTTTAAAAAATCCAATTACAAGAAAGGTGTGACATGGATGCTTTATTTTTCCTAGTAAGTTCAAAATAGTGTTAAATAAATTTTAAATGTATCAATTGAAAAAAAAATCAAGACAAAAATATTACAAGGCATTGGCATATTTTATAAATCTTATAAAAAAAAACTATATGCTAATATACAAATGATTCTAATATAGTAGTAAAAGGTGATGAATTTAATGTATAAAAATTAATTAATATTACAAAATAATTTATCTTCATTATAAGAATAGAAATAAATTGGTTAGAATTTGAAAGTTATAAGCAATATAATAAAACAAAGAAATCTTAATAGACAAAAAGCTTTTGTGTGGGCTTATGTATCTCTACATAATTTAAATAAACTTACAAGTATCTCTTTAAGATTATTCTTAAAAAATAGGATGTTTGTTATTTTTTATTTAAAAAAATCTAATGTAAAATATATACTTGGTGCTCTTCAAAATTTTGTATAACTAGAGGTATAATAATTTTCAATATATATATATATATATATATATATATATATATATAGTTTCTTGCCATATTAAATGGAATTTTAAAAGCTATCCATAAAATTAATATAATGAATAAGAAGTATTTTTGGAGTCATATAAAATTACTAATTCAAATTAAAATTACATAGGTAGTATGATATATATGTTTAAGGCAAAAAGAATATAGGGAGTTATTGTCCCAAAAGATTCTAAACAGGCTTTCTTTGCAAAAAAGTCAAATGGAGCTCTTCAACCTAAAATATCTAATATCCAATAATTTCTTTAGTATGAATTGATACATGAAAAATTTATTACTCATAGTGTTTGCTGGCCAAATTTTAAATGATCATTTACAATGAAATAAAAATAGAATATAAGTTCCAAAAGTTAAAAAAAAAACATTGGATAAGTTTGGGCATATTTGGTCTTTAATTTATTTGACTACATATCTGCAATTTTTTTTGTATAGAACTTAAAATAAAATTTTATGGTTGGATCCAAATGTTTCACTTATAAGTAGATATATTGATTCTAATTGAGCGGTTTTACTCTTCATTTAAGATCTTCATAGAATAAAAGAATTATTTAATACATCCCACCATCCACTCTTGATTGATAAGGTTGATCAAATATATAAATTATACCTTTAAAATTCATATTTGTAGCCTATACTTATCTTCTACTTTCTATAATCATGGTTCTAATTAATTAGAATCAGAATTGTACTCTCTAAATTCAAAGTTTAAGTAAGTCTAGATAAGAATAAAAATAATTTTCTTTCTATGGTTGTCTTTCAACTCCTAATCCAACATAAAGATATTGTAGAAGACTCTTGGTTTATCATATATAAATCTATTAGCATCAAACAAAATTAGATTAGAACTTAATTACTAATATCATATTATAATAAATAATTCTTAGTAAAATAAAGATACTTTTACTAAAATAACTTAGAGGGATTTTTAAAATTATTTTAGCAATGCAAAAAATAATGTTTAAGTATTATGGTAAAAACAATATTAAGATACTTTTTAAACTAATAAATAAATTGACTTGTGACTCTAATAGAAATTATTGATCTATAAGTGCTAGAGTTATCATTTGTGTGTAAAAAACAGATAGATCTATAATCAATAGGAACTAAACTCCACTTGACTTGAATAATGCCAAATGAAATTATATCATAAATTTAGATTTTTACTTTCAATTAGCAAGATGATTAATTTTGGCCCCATTCTTGCAAAAGTTAATATTAATTTTACTTTTTTTATGTCAAGATGTAGCCATAAATATATAAAAAAGACAAGGTAGTCCAATTATTAATATAAAAAATAATTTTATATTTACCAATATATTAAGAAAATATTATATATAGATTTTTTGTATAATATAAAATATATTATATATAGATTTTAGAAATATAAAAGATTTCAATATATTTAAAATTAGGTAATTTTATTTTTGTATAAATTTTCATCTAGTCTTAGAAATAGGATTCAAAGAAAGTTTTTTTAATCAAAAATTTCTTTGCATAAGCATTATCTTTTTAGATTCAAAAATTTCTATGATATTTGGTCTTTATTAAAAAAATCATGGATATAAATAATACAAATCCAACTTTAAATTAAAAAACAAACTAATAAATGAGATCAAAGCATAGATTAATCTACATGATATAAAATTAATATAGATAGGTTTTATCGAATACAAAAAAAACTTGATAAAATATCTTATATCAAAAGACAAAAAACAACCTAACTACAAATTTATCTTTTTGAAATGGTGGGACAAATTTTTCATCACAAGAAACATAATTGAATCTAGTTTCAATATGTTTATAAGTTAGAACTCAAGAATGTTACACAGTAAGCTAATAATACATGATATAATAGAAGTACAAAAAATAATTCTAAAGACCTTAAGAAGAGAAGATGAAATAAAATGTATTTTTTTCCTACACAACATGAACAATGGTGTCTTCTCCAAGTAAACTTCTAAATAAATATATATATATATATATATATATTTTTTTTATTTACAAATATTGTAAAGGCGTTTCCGTTTGCTAGGCGACACAAGTGGCGGTAGAAAAATGCGGTAGATGGGTATACGTGTACACACACCAGGAGAGCGAAGAACGGCGATGAGGGAACGAGAGTGTTCGAACTACGAGTCAATGCCCAAAAAGGTCAGCAGCAGGAAATTTCGTTACAGTGCACTGGTCGGACATCACCTTTCCATCGGAGTCTGGGTGTGGCGACTGCTCGCCCAAATATCTTCCATGTATAAGAAGTGACCGCGGGAAAAAGCAAAAAATGGCGGGCGGGAGTCCGGGCGGAGGGGGACGGGAGGCCAGTGTACCGGCCTGCACTTCTTAGAGCTTCTGGAGGCTTCGGGGACCTTCTGAAGCCGTTTTTACATAGTCTCTGTGGTTCACCAGCTCTTCATCTTCCTCCTCCTCCCCCCCATCCCATTCCATTCTTTCTCGTGACGGCGTTGTTCACCCTGCTTCCGAGTTCGTGTTCGCTGTAAGAGCTGCCGTTGCTGACAGGTTTTACGGCTCGTGCTTTCCGCTATGGCTGGTAAGGGCGAGGGTCCTGCCATCGGCATCGACCTTGGTACTACTTACAGTTGCGTCGGAGTGTGGCAACATGATCGTGTCGAGATCATTGCCAACGACCAGGGTAACAGAACCACCCCGAGCTATGTGGCTTTCACTGACTCTGAGCGTCTCATCGGTGATGCTGCTAAGAATCAGGTGGCCATGAACCCCATCAACACTGTATTCGGTGAGTTTTTCCCATTTCTTTGTCGTAGCTTTCGTTTCTATCCTTGACAGGTTCTATGCAGCATTCGGTTGTTACTCTGTTGTTTTTCGTATCTCTTGTGTTCGAAGACCTAGTTTGTGGTAGGACGCGGACATGATGTCACGTCCGTTTCATGATATGGTTCTGGTAGGACGCGGACGTGATGTGACGTGCGTTTGATGATACGGTTCTAGGTGCCTCTGTTTTGATAATTTGCTGATCGACGTGTATGTATGGACAATGTAGATGCTAAGAGGTTAATTGGAAGGCGTTTTAGTGACGCTTCTGTCCAGAGTGATATGAAGTTGTGGCCATTCAAGATCACCCCCGGGCCGGGAGAGAAGCCCATGATCAGTGTGCAATACAAGGGTGAGGAGAAGACTTTCGCCGCCGAGGAGATATCTTCCATGGTGCTTATCAAAATGAAGGAGATTGCTGAGGCATATCTCGGGTCCACGGTAAAGAACGCTGTGGTGACTGTTCCAGCTTACTTCAATGATTCTCAGAGGCAGGCGACAAAGGATGCAGGAGTCATCGCTGGTTTGAATGTGCTGCGTATTATAAACGAGCCAACTGCTGCTGCTATCGCGTATGGCTTGGACAAGAAGGCGACTTCTGTGGGCGAGAAGAACGTGTTGATTTTCGACTTAGGGGGAGGTACCTTTGATGTATCTTTGTTGACCATTGAGGAGGGTATCTTCGAGGTGAAGGCCACCGCTGGAGATACTCACTTAGGAGGAGAGGATTTCGACAACAGAATGGTGAACCACTTCGTGCAGGAGTTTAAGCGCAAGTACAAGAAGGACATTGGTAGCAATCCTCGTGCGCTGAGAAGGCTGAGGACTGCTGCCGAGAGGGCGAAGAGGACCCTCTCATCGACTGCACAAACCACAATTGAAATCGATTCGTTGTACGAGGGTGTTGACTTTTACTCTACCATAACTCGTGCTAGATTCGAGGAGTTAAACATGGATATGTTTAGGAAGTGTATGGAGCCAGTGGAGAAGTGTCTAAGGGACGCTAAGATGGACAAGTCATCCATCCACGATGTCGTGTTGGTCGGTGGATCCACTCGCATTCCTAAGGTGCAGCAGTTGCTCCAGGATTTCTTCAACGGCAAGGAGCTGTGCAAGTCCATCAATCCTGATGAGGCTGTTGCTTACGGTGCCGCTGTCCAGGCTGCCATCTTGTCCGGAGAAGGTAATGAGAAGGTGCAGGACCTTCTGCTATTGGATGTTACTCCCTTGTCTTTAGGACTTGAGACCGCAGGAGGAGTAATGACAGTGCTAATTGCAAGAAACACAACCATCCCCACCAAGAAGGAACAGGTATTTTCAACATATTCGGACAACCAACCGGGAGTGTTGATCCAGGTGTACGAGGGTGAGAGAGCCAGGACCAGGGACAACAACTTGCTCGGAAAGTTCGAGCTCTCTGGCATTCCCCCTGCCCCTCGCGGTGTACCGCAGATTACTGTGTGTTTCGACATCGACGCCAACGGTATCTTGAACGTATCTGCTGAAGACAAGACCACTGGACAGAAAAATAAGATAACAATCACTAACGACAAGGGCCGCCTGTCCAAGGACGAGATCGAAAAGATGGTGCAGGAGGCTGAGAAGTACAAATCCGAGGATGAGGATCATAAGAAAAAGATTGATTCGAAGAATGGGCTTGAAAACTATGCTTATAACATGAGGAACACCATCAAGGACGAAAAGATTGCAAATAACTTGGACGCTGCCGACAAGAAGAAAATTGAGGACGCTGTCGATGCTGCTATTCATTGGTTGGACCAGAACCAATTAGCGGAGAGCGACGAGTTCGACGATAAGTTGAAGGAATTGGAGGGGATTTGCAACCCCATTATTGCGAGGATGTACCAAGGAGGTGCAGGAGGTGAGCGGCCTGTACCACCGTACGGAGGAAGTGATTCTCCTCCATCCGGTGCTGGCCCCAAGATCGAGGAGGTCGACTAAATCGACACCAAGCGTTCCGATGCGGTCCTTGGACACAGGAGATTACAGGCGTCAAGCACCCAGTTCTTTACAGCTATTTGAGGGTCTGTCCCATTTTTGAGAGGTGATGACCTACGAGATCATTTTTCGTCAGGATTATTTTGTCCTGAATATTATAGGGTAAATATTCTTATAGTTTCTTTAACTAACAACCATAACAAGCTGCCAGTCATATGTCACGAGAGCAGCAAGCTGTAACCATCAGACTGATTGTTGGTCGTCCTTTCTGTGATCAATCTATGGGCTGTGATGTGTGGACATATTCTTAGTTTACAAATGAGACATACTTGCAGAAATATCTTATAAAAAATTTACTCATTTCATTACAATTGAAACATGTGGTTCTACCTAAGATTTGTACAATCAATGGAAAAACCAAGAATTTTGTAATCTTTTCAGTCTGTTTACAATTGACAGATATGAATTCTACGGATTGAATAATGCCCCCAGCGTGCTAACTGTGGAACTGTATTCTGGTTGCTAATTTAGTAACAATCTGCAGATCGTGTCGTACACTGATTTCTTTCGCACATCAACGTTAGTATGCTGTATTGTTTTCATACATCGACCGTTCTGTTGAAAACAATGTAGACTTAATGTTAAAAATTACGGGAAGTGAGAAATGTCTATTTACAACAATTTCACATTATAAAATGAAGATTTCAGTACCATCGCTTGATAGTTCAGTTTGAACCCGATTTACCTACACTCTATTGGTTGGATTGTGGGTAGTACTGGCTCCTGGGATCTACAATGAGAGAATTGACAATATGAGGGCAATAGATTAGTACAGTACGATGTGGTTGACAGGTTGCGAAATCTAATTTTGGAACACCAAACTTCCTTATTGTCTGGTATGTTAAAATTTGGACAATTAATTTTTGAAATCAATCAAATGGTATTATACTTAAAATATACAGTGGTACTGTGCTTAATTAATATCCAATAATTAATATTTCTTGCTTAGCTGATAATATTTGCTGGAATAGAGGACAATTTTAGGTTGTAATCTTAAAACGTTGTTTGTTACATAATTAATAAAAAAAAGGGTGAAGTCTATAATTGAAGTGAGAAATTAAATTTTTCATATTGTTCATTTATTTGATTTTTATATGATTGGACTGGTGACTGAATGTTGTTGTAGGGGAAACTTGAGTTTTGTTTACTGGTTGCGCCTGTTCTGGTATTGAGTTGTGAGTAGCGTTTGTAATTTCGTGATTCGGAAAGCTTTCAATAGCGAGGTTTTGGAGGTGCGGAGTTTATCTGAGTTCTAACTAGTTAAGGGAGTAACTGTTCCGGGGTCCGTTGGGGAATCCGGTGTCTGACTGAAATGCTGTTGCGCCAATATGGTCTGCTCTTCCAAGACCAGTTTAAATTGGCCAGAGTTGAGTTCCCATCTCGCATGTAAACTCTGAAGGAGTAACTATTGATGTCATTGCAGTCGTGCTTAGTTTGACGTTAAATGGGAATATTTTGTGTGTCCATTTGAATAAACTGAAAAAGAACAATTGACTGAATTCAATCACCTGTCGACTACTTGTGGTCTACCCCGCTTGATTTATAATCTCGAGTAATTTATAAAATTTCCATACACACCAAGGTTATGATTTACGTGGAATATGATTAAATAGTAAAAATTGAATGATATATGTATTCAACACTAAAAAGAAACATTAACTTCAAAATCAAACAATTTTTTATTGTAGTGAAATTTTTGTTATTATTTTTGTATGAATCAATTTCAATGAATAAATACTTTTTGTGATTTTTATAATTTTTAACATTTTATAGTTCATTTTATTTCATAAAAAAGTGAAGAAAGAATACAATTTGATTTAGCTTCTTTTATCTATTTGAAAAACTTATAATTTTAGAAATTTTTAATTCTTTTTATGAACAGATTAATATTCTTTATCTATATTTCATTAGAAGTAAAGTAAAGTTGTAAGTATAAATAATTAACATAAACTTTGAATTATGTTGTGTCCAAAGGATAAACAAATAGACAGCAACACATTTACAAGTAGAAGATGTTGAATAATATGACCAACATTTCAATACAAACAAAAAATAATAATAAGCAAAAAAATTGAAATTGTGCGATTTTATACAAAAAATAACAAGAAAAAAAATTATAAAAGAAGAATATATATATCTCTTGTAGATAATTCTACTTAAAAATTAATTCAAATATTTCCAAATTGCATAAGTGTTAATTAAAAATTTTGGTATTAATCCTGAATATTACATAGATAATGAATAAGTGTCTTAAAATAATTAGAATTTCAAAGAATTTACAAGTTATAAAAATCTTAATTTTGGACTAAAGTATGAATAGGATTTAATTAAAGTGTGTTAAAGATTTTTTAGGGTTTTTATGAAATTAATTAGAATATAATAAGATATATCTTAGATTTTTCTAAGGTTGATAGGATGTACTTAAGATACTTAGAAGCTTACTTAGCTTATTTAGGATTGCCCAAAGATGTTTCTAAATACCTTATGCATTGTTTTGGATTGTAAATCAAAGCTCAATGTAAGATCAAACTTTGCCCACAACTAAATGTCTAGTTCATTTCTAAGTTAGATTTCATATGACACAATAATGGGGTTGCTAGCCTCAAGCAAAGCACATCCATGATTAATAAATTCTACGTTAATTTACCTTATTACTTTTATTTTCACAATTTTACATTAAATCAACTATAATTTATATTTTATATTGTGATTTGTATTTTTTAGTTTTTTAATTTTTTCTTTTATTTATTTTCAAATTAAATTTTACTTATTTTATGTTTTATTTTATTTCTTTATTTTGTTACTTTTATTATTATTTTTATCTTTTTTTCACTTTTATAAATATTATTATTCATTTTTATATGCATACAAACTTTTACATACTAACATAATTCAATTAATTACTTTTTTCATATTTTAATGTTGATGTTATTGATTTTACAAATAATATAGGTATTTTATTGTGCAATTCATCGAAAAAGAATGTAATTTATATTCTATATATGCATATATATATATATATATATATATATACATGATTATTTTTCTAATTTAAAAATAAATAATTTTAGTAATTAGAAAAGGATTAAATTTTGCATAGGTGCAATAATTATTATTGAACAAAATTGTCATTCATGAGTCTACTTTTGTTATTTTGAAAGCACAGTGGTCCTCTTAAAGGTATTACACATATATTGTTGGTAGATGATACAGCACATCTACATCAATAACTACTATTGTGCCTGTAGCTATATTATTACACAAATAAGTTATTTGAACCTAGATTTTTAAGCTAATGAGTTTCCAATGGCTTAAGCCATTTACAAAAGAAAATCTCTATTTTATGATCTTTTGTACGGAAATTGTCTTGTTAATGAAATGGTAGCCACCAAATAAGGTAGCAGACCCATTGTCGACCACCCCTCCATTTCCAACATGTAGACCTAGCTAATTCTATTAATTCAATGACTAGGTATGACATCCATATTGATTAGAAATAACACTTCTTGGTTTTGCCAAAGTTGGATTCGTAATTTTGTAACCCACCATTAATAAGAATTAAGTTGGCATGTGATCAAAATTAGATTGGTGTACATGTTAGAAATGGACTGAAGAGAATCTTTAACTAAAACATCTATTTAAATTCCATTTTTTAGCCAAATTGTCTTATGTTGGGACTTAGAAATGGGTCATAAACCTTATGTCTCAAATGGTCTGATATAAAGAGTTCAAAAATACAAAATTCAAGAATCCTTCATATTTTCTATGCAAACAGTCAAAATCAATTGGTTTACATGTGCCACTCACTCCCATACACTGTGACAACATAAACCAAAGATCCATTGTATTTCATGACCACGTGTTATCGCACATATATGAAAGTCAGGCTACAGAACATTTTGAAGTCGAACAAACTTCGAAACCTTACGTGAGTAGAGTCACGGCAGCGAAGAATTTAGGTTCCACAGAACTACAGTACACTAGACTTGCAACCGGATTCACCCAGAAAATCGACTGACATATAATGGATGTATTATGTGAACATCAATGAATAGTGTCAGCTTCAACATGTCCATAAAAAGTTAAATTTCGGTAGCTCCGTGATGTTGCTGCCGCAAGGCAAACCTATAAATAAGGCGCATGTTAAATACCAAGCAATTCCGAACCTAATGGATATTCCACATAGATCTAGCTGATCCTGAACTAATACGATTATAATCTGTATAGAGGCTCGATACCAAGAAGCTTGAAACATTCCCGCATTATGACTGCAGTAGCTTCGCATAGCAACAGTCGACTAGTTTCCTCTTCAGAGCCGACAACCTACAAAAAAGACACCAGAATCCAAAGATCAAGGACATTTCAACCCAGTATAATTCAAATAAAATGAGGAAATCTCTCTAATTCCTGAAAATAAACTGAACACTTAGCGTGGCACAAAAAAATTCTTTGACGTTGCAAAATTAATTTTGCGTAAAAATCGACATATACAACGAGAGTCCCAAGTAGTAGCTTACTTTGCAGTTGGTGTAAAAATCTGTGAACATTCCCGAAAGAGTGTAGAGATACTCGCACAGAACGTTTGGAAGAAGGTCCGAAGCAGCATCTTCCACAAACTAAAAACATGAAAACATAAAGCAGTGTAAGATGCTATATCTCGATTAAGCTCGAAGTGCGGAGTGCAACTCGCATAGTCGAATCATGCTGAATTGGAACTCTAAACAATAATCAAATACTAAATGGTCGATATTGATCTCACAAGAGTAATAACGCAGGAGTTTCAGACTTGCTTGAACTCTGGTCGCAAATGCTATACTACACTCTTAACTTCCACGATTCCTCTCGACTATTCAAAACACGAGTTTTAGAGCACAAGAACTCGGCGGGAAAGGATGGGAAAAGAGGGGAAGTACTGTACCTCGCCAAAACGAATCAACTGCAAACCCAATGCTCTCTCACTTGGATGTTGTAGCTTCATCTGTCCAGTCTGCGTAAGCAACATAAAGAGGACTCCGACCCTTAAACCAAAATCCTACAAACCTCGAATTAAATTGAATTGAATTGAATTTTCGGATAATGAACAAATTTGAAAAATCTGGAGATCTGACTTCATATCAAGGTATTACCATGGGTAAGTTAAATCACCCTGTGAAATTATTTTTCAACAAATCACCCAACCCAAGAATGCCAACCCAATTTACAGACTAACTAGCCTGTGGTCGATGACAGCCATACGGGTAACGAAGATAATATGCAAATGAGCCATTGACTTCGACAGTTTGCATGTCGACTGGAAATACAAACAAGGAGAATTCCAATAATCATTGCAGCTACTGAGCCCTTAAAGCGGTTCAACAGTTTAACCTTTCAAAGCATACACATATAATTATTCTATTATGGCAGCCAAATGACTTACCTTCTTGAGCTCCTCGACATTCTTTTCAGATTTTCGAATTATGGAGCAGATTCGGGCATGAGCATACAACAAATAGACTGCTGTGTTGCCCTGAAATTGTCAATCCAGTTACGATCTGAATCAATATCCATCAGTTTTCGAGAGTTCATAAGGACTATTTCAGTGCTGATGTAGACAACATGCCAGGAAAGCCTCATCATTATTCTAATCTCAGAACAATTCGAAGTGAAAATGTAGCGGTTGTAAAAACAAACTCAGTAACTGTCACAAAATCACAAAGCAAATACTAGTACAAATACATCTTGAATCACGATAAACCCTTACACAAAAGAGCTCAATCGCAAAGACATATCAAAAATGCTCACCCGAATGTCCAACATTTGGTCGAAATTGAAGGTATAATTTGTCAACCTGTTATTCTTCAAATCCGCATATCTACATAGATCCACAAGTAATGTCAGGTCTAGAAGATTAACATATCAGAATGACATCAAGACAGAATCATGTTACTTAGGAAACAACTATTTGGAGAGAAGATTTACTTAATGGCGCCATAGCCCAGAGCCTCTGCAGCTTCCTCTAGCTCCTCGGCAGACCACTCGCCTTCACGTCCTGAAAGGAAAAAACCACATAGTTACAAGCCATTCTTCAAATGCTGTCAAATCACATCAACAGATTAACGTGAGTTATTTTTACCTAGGTCTTCTACTCGAAATATGGGCACCTTCCAAATGCATAAAAAAAAAAAAAAAAAAAAAAAAAAAAAAAACTGTGAACAACCGACGTGAGCATAGTAAGCAACGCAAAACTGAAATTACCTCTCTCGACGAGCCCCTGCTTGCTACGATCCTTGGCTTCGTCAAGAAGATCCACAAGGCGAACAACCTCAGTACTTCTAGTTCGGAATCGCTTCCCATCGGCACCAAGCACTAGACCAAACCCAACGTGCCTGGCTCGTGGAAGTTGGGATTCATCTTCTGGCAACCACCCTGCACGTTTAGCTGCCTGAAAGAAGAGCGCAAAGTGAATGCCTGATTAGCAAGATGTGATTAATACGCTCCTCTTCAAACCTTCAAGATAAAGAGTCATGTCATTAATCAACAAAGGAAATGTTCAAACCAACATATCAATGAAGGTAGTGATTATCGGCAGTTACCTTAAAGACCATATCAAAATGCTGGGACTGACCCACATCTGTAACATATACCATCACTTCAGCCTTTTCTTCATTCAAACGGTACCTGCACATGTAGTTAATCAAGTCATACACCATGATGGGGAGATAGAGTCGCAAAAGAAAGAGAAAATGTATAAGGAAGACGGGAGACACGCTTTGAAACAGATCATACACTAAAGAATCCCAGGAGCATACAGAACAAGCAACTATCAGGGAACCTCTTGGACATACCACATAGCAGTCATATCTGTAGAGGCATAATTGAAACCGCCATCACTCTTCACCAATATAAGAGGAATGGTTTGGCCAGAAACTTTGATGACTTTAGCACCCTCACTGTCCTCTACAAGCCCTTTTCCTTTCAGCTCCTCAACCACACCTGGAATGTACTCGTTGTATGCACTCTCACCCTGCAAACGGAAAGTCCAACCCAAAAAAGAAAAACGTATTCAGTGGACACTCACCATGAAATTCACGACCTTCCTTAAGAACTGCAATATGACTTGGAGTACAACTGGTTTAAAAAAACGAAGCATGAAGAGGCACTGAAGATCAAAGACGAATACGTCACCTTCTCTTCCAGGGTAACTTTCAGTCGTTTATAGACTTGATCAAAACTCTTTCGGCTCACATCACATATCTTTGCCCACGCTGCTCGGTATTGTGGATTACCTCCCTGACAAACCAATTCATAGTCAGCGCAACTATGTCCTCTATTGAATTCGTTCAGTAGGTGCTTTGCAGCTTCATCTAATTCATCTGTAGACATAGAACTCTAGGAAAACAAGCTACAGTCCCACCAAAATCGACTAAAATCATTAAACCAAGAGGTGTTTCGGCACCTGAAGAAGCACGACGGCTTTCTGAGCTTTTTCTTTAAAAGCAGCATCAACATCGAACTTGATTTTTGCTTTCTTGTAAAAATCCTGCACAAAATCTTTATCATCAAGACTAGGAGGTTGAATACACAGCATGCTTGTCCTATTTTATCTTAAGAGCACGATTTACAAACAGGTTATAAGCATAATTCAAGGACAATGTGACCATGTTTCACACCATCCTAGAATTAGAGGGCGAATCGAAGTGATTAAAATCGTGAATGTTGCACTAATGAAGTCAGCATGAGAAAGTGCAACCGCAAAGAGCACGCAGAGACCACATGAACATTCACTCTTCTCGGAGGAACAGAAAAAGAGTTCACCTGCAAGTCTCCAACTGCTTGATCACCAATCTCCTCCCAATTAGGAAACTCCTCAAACAGGTACTCGATCAACATTCCAAACTGGCAAACCCAAAATAATATTCAGGATCGCCAACCCAAAATTATCATCGAACTTTCTTCCCAGAAACATTCCTATTTCCTTTCGGGCTCAAAAGATCCTGATTTCCCATGACTAGCTCAACAATTGATGTGTTGCAAATTCACATAACCATTCTGACAAGATTAAAGATTCAAATCAGTATGATAGTCATAATACATGTCAAAGGGGATTTTGAACCTTAATCGCCCAACCTGAGTTCCCCAATCACCGACGTGATTCCTTCGCAATACTTCCACGCCACAGTACTCCAACATCCGACAAAGGCTGTCGCCTATGATTGTAGACCTCAAATGACCGACATGCATCTCCTTTGCGATATTCGGAGATGAAAAGTCAACCACTACTCGCTTGTAGGACAGCGCAGGCGCCCATTCTCCAACTCCATGTGACAATAATTGATGAAGTTTCTGAAAATTTCAAGATGTGTAGAATTCAAGCAGAGGTTGATAATTATCCATACACTCAAGTCAGATAAGAAGAATTTCTGTGTTTCTGGTTGAAGACTTCAAAGCAAATGATGTGAGTAAACAAATATCGTGACAACTAATTTGAACATGTAAACAACGAGCCAAATATTGAAAAGACATTCCTGCGAAACATTACAAGTGTCTTTTTTATAAACCAGCATATGATGCATTTTATTTACTACTAATTACATTCTAATACATACGATTAGTATGCTGGACAATATCTCATGGAACAGCATTTCTAACCACTAACCTTCTCAATCCACCTGTCCGACAGCTTGATATTAACAAAGCCAGGCCCAGCAACAGACACACTATCTGTCAATGATGAGCGAGGCAAACTCCCTGCCAAAGCCTGCATAAATGCGACAAAGTCTGTTCTCTCATCAATTTGCACAATTCACCGAGGTCGGAAGCACATCACACAAAATGTTAAGGCTCTTATATCAAGCCACTTAAAATTTTAAGTGCGAAGGGTTTAAAAACATGCCTGTCCAATGGCGTTAGGGTTTTTGAAAGAAGTATTCTTCCCCTTAATCTTCGACCAGATCCCCATTGCGTTGTTACTGCATCCATAAGGTCATCAAACTGACTTAAGGACACGTTCTACACCACCCAACGCAACGCAATGCACTACGATAATGTTTATTGTAAACTGGTTCCCGCGACCGAATTTCGAAACAAATTTCTTTTCGGGAATAACACTTCAAAATAAGTACTTCCTACTGAACCAGTAACCCAGTCACTTTCCATCAATTTATTTCGCAAAAATGCAAGATGCACCACGTCCTCAAAGACGAGATACACTCTTTTAATCTGTGCCTAAAACCCCTCCTAAACCCACCCTCCCCCTCCAAATTCACAATCGCCGATTCCGAAAGCCCTCTCTTTACAGGTTTCACTCTCATGCCACTCACTACTCACCACTGATAGTCTCCATTCTTGGGATTACCACAAACCGCCACTTGCGGCTCAATGTCTTCCACATCTGGCACAGTGGTAGCCAACGCTTCTCTCACTAGATTCACGACCTGCTGTCGCACGCTGCCAATTCCGACATCCTCCAAGTCCAGCCCAGGAGCAGCACCAGGGGCAAGAGCAGGGGCGGCTCCCTCCACGGCAGCCATGGGCTTACGCGAGAGGGAGGCAAAGCGAGCGCGTTGACGAGGAGTGAGAGGAGGTGAGGAGGAATAAGAAGAAGAAGAAGAAAGGTGAGGGAAGGAAGGAAGGGCGCGGCGAGGAAGTGACAAAGGGGGCAGAGAGCTGAGAGGCAGAAGAGGGCAGAGACGATAGATCAGGAAGCGCGAGCTGGTGCAATACAAAGTGTCCATGGCCGAGGGGCGTGGGTGGGAAGGCGCTGTTGAGGTCAGGGCTGGCATGTCCCCCTCCCTCCAAACCCTAATCGCGTCGTCGTCGTCGTCATTGCTGTTCCCGTTCCACCCTTCGCTCCTCCTCCTCCGATACCTGGTGCACCACTATTCTGGTTCCTGGTCCAGCCCTAAATCGGTGCCCGACGGACCTCTGCCGTGCCCGTCCCCCTTCCCCGTCCCCCACCATCGCCAGCTTCGTGTGGCTCCATCCTCTTCTTCTTCTTCACCTTTCTCCAAAGTTATCCCTTCTGGTCCCTGGGGATGGATGACTTATTTAAAAGAATACCAGGCAAGGCACATGCTGGAGGATGATGGATAATCTTCATCGGCATTTCAAAGCACACGTTCTTCATGCCATTCGAGTACGTGACACTAACTCTCTCTCCCACGTGGCCCAAACGGTTTGCTTTTCTGCTCTGTGCTTCTATGACGTCCAAAGTTTAATAAAAAGCCTTCTCTAGGCCGTGCTTCTCAAGTCTCATGTGAAAAAATAAGAGGGATAAACTATTACAACTAATATCTGTTAACATTGCATGAAATAAAGAATCAAGTCAATTCTCTAGTTAGTTTTTGAAAATATGTCATAGAAACTTTCTAAATTTGGTTGTATTGATTATTAGTAGCTTTTGAAAAATACCTTGTATTAAGAATTAACTATTATCTTCTTAAGTGTAAAACTTGTGATTTTTGAAGGATCAAATTTTCTTTAGATACAAAAGAGCACAAACGAACTTGAAACAAACCAATGAATATTATTAACATAATATTGGTTTTTTCACAAATGTTATAAAATGTGTCTATATATCCTCTAAATCTTTTCTTTGAGTAATTCAAATATGTAAAAGTTCTGTTGGATGTTAAAAACTCCTCCTACACATGTATGTTGACAAATATATTGGAACTATCATATAAACATTGAATTCAATGTATGCTACAATCACATTTTGATAGTTAAAGATTTGTATTCAACTATTGCAGCTTGCATTTATAATAGTGAGATTGAAAATCCAATAATTCATCATCTAAAAGGCAAGTTGTGCAAAGCAACAAATCATTTGAGACAATTTTGTCCAAAATATAGTTTGAAATTATTGAAGCAATAACAAAATATCTATCTTTACAAAAATTGCAAAGGTTGCAAACATAATATTTGCATTTAGCATATTTGAGTTATTTTACTTTTGCAACAATCTACAAATATATCATAGATACAATCAAGTTTATAGTGGCTATATACAAATATTAATCTACATATAATTTGAATTTGAGATATTATTCTAATAATTTGATTTAAATAAAATTTGAAATAGCATTGAATCCAACAATTTTATTTTTTAGGTAAATGTAAAAAAAATACAAATCAATATAACAAGGGTGGATAGAAGTCATATCTTTGTCTTTTGAAGTTACAATGGTTATTGTTGTGCCAAAGGCATAATAGACATATTTTGATTGTTGATATTTTTTTATTCCAAAAGTAACTAACATCAACTTTGTAAATATGTATTGACTACTTCAGCTTTTTTTAACATATAAATGATTCAATCAAATCAAGTGTCAAGGACATGAACTAAAAGATGATGCATAAACCAATAAAATTTGTATCAAAGAAAGAATAACAAAATAGAAATAAAGAAGTATGTATATTAAAAAGAAATTGGAATGGCTTATTGTCCAAGACAAGGAAACTTGAGATTCTTAAAACTAGGCTAGAAGCAAGAAAAGAGTTGATAAGAGTGAAGAAGGCTTCACTCTTGTCTCTATATATACTATCTAACTAGGAGCTATGTGAGAATGTTCAATAAGACCTCTAATATGTGTTGACTTTGTAAGTCACATGCCTTAACTTACAAGGCAAGTTTTTCTACATAAGGGCCATATGATTAGCTTGGTCTTCAAGCTAACAACATGTGCGGCACATGATCAACTTGTTGATCACTTTTCTAATCCAAAAAGTCGATTATAGACACCTATAAAGTCAAAGCAGCATCTATAGAACTTCTAGAAAGCTTCTATAGAAGATATTGTAGAATTAATTTACTTTTATTTACTTTTATTTACTTCTACCTATTTATACATGTGATTATTAACTTACTCGTGTTTGTCCAGGACATTATCCCTCCTTCTAGGGATGAGTTCCACGAGGAGCGGTCATCATATGTAGAGAAAATCAATGATGTGACAAATTGTATTTGCCACATACTTAGATCTTTCTCTCTTCGAAGATGGTTGATAAGGCCTCTCAATCATCGATAGTATCCCAGATCAGGGCGAAAATACCACCCTGGTATTTAATCATTGTTGAGGCTTTCATAACTTTCTTCACATAAAATATTTGGAACACCGTCAGAAGTTGTTCCTATCTCTAATAAAATTACCAAACATCAGGAGTTTCTTCTAAGTTCGTCATACCAAACGTGTTGTATCTCACCATTTATTCAAAAAAAAATATGTTGTTCTTGAAGATCTTCATCTCAATTGCATCATCTTGAAGGTTGTGACAATTGCAATGTCTCGTCTGACACATCAGTAAATAAAGGCTCTTCAGTCAAATCCGTTGATTATTGATTCTCCATCTCTTTAACGTCACAACTACAAACAAGCTATAAACAAGGATTGAAAGTAAAATATTATCTTATCTAGATCTTGTTTCTTTTATATAAAAGGTTTTCATGTAGATGTCGTCAATAAAAAGCCTCCACTACCTTTGTTGCATTTATAAGATTCTTTATTAGCTCCCATGTGCATTCACTAATATCATATCCGCACCAATAGATAAGATATTCTAATTTATTTTGGTGCCACCTTGAATCTAAGACTTCTTCCACTTTGAACTCTTCATTATTGTCCACTTCTATAAGAGGAGGTGGAGCTTGTCTTCTTCTTGGTATGTCCACTATCTTGTATGGTTCAAAAAGAGACATATAGAATACTGGATGGATTTTCATTGACTCCAATAGGTATAAACGATATGCAATTGCATTGATTTGTGTAAAAATAAGAAATGGTGCAAGCCTACAATAGTCCAACTTATCAGAAGGACAAGTAGTCTTGTTATTACGACAAAGTAACCATACCTTGTCACACATGTGGAATGATGGTTTTTCCTTTCGATAGACATCCACATTGATCTTTTGTTGTTCTTGAGTTTCTTTTAATTTTACGTTCATTGTTGCATATAGCTCTAACAAATGATTTGCCAAATCTTTCGTCACATGATTATCAACTTTTGAAAAGTCAAAAGTATCAAGTCATGGATGATAACCATAATTGATAAAGAAAGGTGTTTGTTTTGTAGAAAAATGTACTATATTATTATAAGCAAACTTTGCCAATGGCAAAAGAATTATCTAATCATCTTGTTGGTAGTTGATGGTATATCTTAAATATTGTTCCAAAACTTGATTAACATACTTCATTTATCCATCAATTTGAGAATGGAATACCAAAAATAGTTTTATATCTACTTTTAGAATCTTAAAAAGAGTTCACTAAAATCTTGATACAAATTGAGTTCCTCTATCAGATATAATATCCTTGGGTAATCTATGATAGCGATAGATGTTGTCAAGAAAGAATTTAGCTATTCTTTCATCTGTGATAGATTTTGTACATGGTACAAAATGTTCCATTTTAATAAAATGATCTATTATCACGATTATAGAGTCATAAGAACTTGAGATTAGAAGATCCTTAATAAAATCCATAGAAACAGAAGACTATGGTTGTTATGGAATAGGTAATGGTTGAAGAAGTCCGTAAGATTGATGACGAGGAGTTTTTGATCTTCAACAAATGTCACATGATTGAACAAAGTTTTTTATATCTTTCTACATTTGAAGCTACCATAAATCTCTAGATATAAGCTCTAAAGTCTTATTATATCAAAAATATCTTGTTGCGCAAAAGTTATAACGTGCTTAAAGAATACGTAAGCAGGCTTTTCCTTTTGAAACATATAATTGACCTTTAAAATAAAGTAGGTTGTTTTTGATTTCAAACTTAGAAGTATCTTGGGATTTAAAAGAAGGATTCTTGATATTGTGAACAAGAGGATCAGAAGACATACTTCATTGGATTTGTTTCACAAAAGTCGAATCAATAGTCAATGTTGATTTCATTAGTCAAAGATGAAAATGCTCTAGCTTTAGGAAAATTATTCTTTGGTGATGAAAAGATACATCTCCATCTTTCGATATAAGAGAAGAATGTCTAGAAAGGGCGTCTAATAAACCTTGTTGTTTTTCAAGTCGATATGTGATCTTGAAATCAAATCTTGATAAAGACATGCTCCAATAGGTTTGGCGATGATTTAAAACATGTGTTGACATGAAGTACTCAAGATTCTTATAATTCATATATACGGTGATTGGATTAGAAGCGCCTCCTAGATGATGACGCCATTCTTGAAACAAATCCATGATTACAAGAAGTTCTTTGTCGTGGATTTCATAGTTAATCTCGGTTATTGAAAAAAATTTAGAATGAAAAGCTACTTGATGAAATTTATCATTTGTTTCCATTTATAATAATACGACACCCAAAGTAAAGTCTGATGTAACTTTTTCCTTGAAAAATGCCTTAGAAAAGTTGACGCAATACAAGATTGGTATAAAAATAAAGGCTAACTTCAAAGTTTCAAAAGATGCTTCACATTCTTTGCTCTATTCAAGTTTGTCTTTGCAAGTCAAACATGTAAGTAGAGCTACAACTCGAGAAAAGTCTTTGATAAAGATCCAATATTAGTTGGAAAAGCTCAAAAAGCATGGGATATCTCTTATCATTTTTGGAATCTTCCAATCCATAATTATTTGAACTTTCTAAGGATCCATCATAAGTCCATCATTTGAAATGATATATCGTAAGAAGTCGACTTGAATAGTATAGAATATACACTTTTATATTTTGGCATACAGTTTCGTATCTCTTAATTTTTGTAACATACAATAAATATGAAGTTTATATTCATCTATGTTCTTAGAATAGATCAAGATGTCGTCTAGATAACAAATAATAAAATTATCTAAAAATTCTTGAAAAACATCATTCATTAGATATCGAAAAGTCGCTAGTGCATTTGTAAGCCCAAAAGGCATGATGTTATATTCAAAATGCATATACCTAGTTCGAAATGCAATCTTCTATTCATCTCCTTCTTTAATGCGTACTACA